TATTTTGTCATACACAGTTTAAAAAAACCAACTGGAACTTTCAACACTCTGCCTGAAAATCTTCTTAGCCAAATCTACAGCCATTAGGTATTTTTTCCTGTTTTCTCCATTACTACAGGTGACAGTTTTGCCAATCTTTCTGCCAGTCATAACATGAGTTACCTTCTTCTAGTCTCCAATAACAACTTCCTTCCTGTCCTTTCAGCCTTCACTAACAGTTTCTAAAGGCCATTTCAGCTTTTGCCTGCTGCCACATATTTGAGGGTTTGGTTATGTCACCACTCCACTTCCAGGAGGTACCCATTTCTGGTTGGGTTATCCATCATTGTATAACAAACCACCCCAAAACTTGTTGTTAGGTGCTCCCAAGTCAATTTCCTGACTCACGTGACCCTGTGTGACAGGGTAGAACTGCCCCATAGGGTTTTCCAGGCTGTAATCTTTACGGGAGCAGATTGCCAGGTCTTTTCTCCCGCAGAGCTGCTGGGTGGGTTCGAACCACCAACCTTTCAGTTAGCAGCCAAGCACTTAACCATTGTGCCACCTGGGCTCCTACCTCAACACTTAGTAGCTTAAAACAATCACTCTTCTAGTATCTTTCATGGGTCTGCGGGTTTATTGGGCTCAGCTGTGAAGTTCTGCTGGTCTTGCTAGGAGGCTCTCATGCAGCTGCAGCTATATGATGGCTGGGGCTGAAGTCAGCTGGAGGCTTGACTGGGGCACTAGTACAGCGGGACCTCTCTGCCTCTCTATGTGGTATCAGGGCCTCTCTTCTCCACGTGGCCTCAACATGTGCTTTCTCCAAAAGGGAAGCTGGACTTTTTACATGAAGGCTCAGGGCTCCCAAAAGTGAGCATTCCAAGGGGGAAGGAGCAACAACTGTCATTTCCACAGCATTCCTTTGGTTAACCCCAGTCAGAGGCCAGCCCATATTCAATGTGGGCAGAAACCACATAAGGGCATGAATGCCAGGTAGTGCAGTTCATTGCTGGTGATTGTCAGAATCTAGCTACCATAGAGGGCCAAAGGCAAACCTAATTTCCTGCTTGATTACCGAAACTCTTATTTTGGGTTTTGTTGTCAGGATTGTACACTGCAGTCCAATGGGCAAAACCTGACTGAGACCATCAGTTAAATATCCCAAAGAACAAAGATAGCCAAAATTCACAGCTGCTGAGTTAACAGGACCTCTCCCTGTTCTAGGCCAAAGAAATGCAAGCTAATTTATAGTTCTAAAACAAATCTCTGAAAATTCACTCTCACATATCTTTCAGAATTCCATGTGAGAGTCCACATGCACTTCAAAATCAACTTTAAACTTGTTTGATGATGAAGGAGGAGTTGACAGTAAACCAGTGACTAAATGGTAAGAAAGATATCTTGAAATAAACTTCTCGAAGTTCATCCAGATGTGAAAAGGTATCTGATAAAAGACTTTTCACATCTCAGGTTCTCAGAAGAATAAGACCCAGTTTGAATCAGCTTGGTTAAAATTAAAACACCATTTCGCCATATCAAGTGGTGAAATGATCGCAGGCTGGTCAGAAGAGGTCAGGACTGGCAAATACCAGACGTCAAGTCAGGTGAGAGGTGAGGTACTGAGAGATTATGAAGTAAGGGCGAGCTCATTATGGTCCCGCTACACTGGCCTTTTCTCTGTCCCATAAATGTGCCAGTCTCTGAGGGGTGATAAAGGGGTCTCCGTCAGGTTTTGCTCTGCAAATGCTTACATTTGACCCTTTAACTAGGAAATCTTTTTGGTATCGTGTAATTTTAAAAAATAATACTTACAGAATTATCTTATTTCTGTTTTGGAATGTGTGTGTTCATGTACATAGATATGTACGAAAATGTATAGAAAGAGATCTGAGAAAGGCACATTGAATTTTGAGTCATTATCTCCAGACTGGTAATAGAGTGGGTGGTGACGGAAGGTAGTCTGTAACTTTTATTTTGTATATTTCTGTATTGTTTAGATATTTCATAATGAAACTAGATGAATATACTCATGAAATTTAAAAATGCAATTAAAAATAAAGATGAAGATTTCAGACACCTGGGTAGGCTGTGGGGAAGGAATACTTAAGAGAAGTTTCCAAGAGGTCAGGCGACCCGAACGGATAACAGAGAACTGAAATACCTCTGTGTGACTTGAGATTTTTATAAGGCGCATATAATATTTTTTTAATTTAGAAAATCTATCCGGGAGGTGAGAAAAACTTGGCAGGCCCAAGGTGGAGTTGCACTGGCACTTGCGGTCCAGCGGAGGGCAGTAGAGAGCCACGAGTCAGACATCCCAGAAAAGTTCCTCCCTCTCACCTGGAAGAGGGCGGAGGATTCAAACTCTCTGGGTGCGAGCTGAGAAGAGCTTCAACAAAGCCCGATTCTGATAGGAATGGCGCCAGGCAGACACTGGGAGCAAGACAATCAGATCTAAGCCGGGGGGGATCAGAAAAGTGGTGAGGGTGCAGCTCTGGAGAGTCAGGGAGAGAGAAGCTGGGAGGGAACAGGCATTCTTCATATATAACCAAAGAGGACCCTAGCTAGGAGCAGCACCCTGGGGCAGATGACCTGGCGAGATTTCTAGGACTGCTACCCCTACAGTGATCCGGAGGGCACAGCCCTGTTTTGAAGCACCTTGCCCCTCTGCTTGTTTTTAAATTGTGGTTAAAATATATAAATAACAAAACGTTTGCCATTTCAACATTTTTTTTTACACATACAGTTCAGTGACATTAGTTAGGTTCATCGTGTTGTGCAACCGCCACCACGATCAGTTTCCAGATTTTCCCACTACCATTAACAGAAGCTTAGGGCCTCCTAGGCAATGGCCCCTCCCCTCCCCCCTGCTTTTTAAAGTGATCAAGGATAAGGATGGCCCCGCAGGCAGAACATTCACAAGTCACAGGGCTGGAAGAGGGTGGGGCAACTGACACACGGTTGTGCTTGTGCAAAGGTTAGATCCCGTCTTTTTGTAAAACTTTGATATTTTGTTCCTCATGGCATTATTGTGCATTAATTTTTTTAAATATTGCATTAAAATATTATTTATCTTGATCATTGAGCTTTTTGGCAACCTTTAAATTTTGTGCCAGAGGCCAATGTCTCTCTTGGCCTCACCCTAGACCTGTTGAAAAACAAAAAAACCTGTTGCCATGGAGTCGATTCCGACTCATAGGGACCCTACAGGACAGAACAGAACTTCCCCCATAGGGTTTCCAAGGAATGCCTGGTGGATTCGAACTGCCAACCTTTTGATTAGCAGCCGTAGCACTTAACCACTGTGCCACCAGGGCCCCAGCCCAGGCAAGAATAACAACAAAAACAGTAACAACCACAACGAATCCCTGATCTGAAGCAAGAAATGGGGCTTTACAGTGCATCTATTAGGAACAATTTTAATCAAAACTCCACTACAAAATTTGTGAATGAAATGAATGATTTCTAACATGTCAGTCACAGAAACCTACAACTGAAATGAAATCATATAAATCTATGTTAAAGCAGAAAAAAATAGTAAAGTGCTTCTGTATCCACTGTGAATATGAAGTTAATGTTCAGATGAATTTGGAAGCCATTTCTAAAATACTGGCTTTAAGATTTTTGTCTATCATCTATCCACCACTAGGGGAGAAAAAAGATGCTTTTTAAGAGTTCACAGGTAAATTCCTTTACTTTATAAGCACCATTGAAACTAAGATCAATTTGTTCAAAAAGCAATAAGATAATATTTTCTTATTATCTTTATAATGAGTTTGAGGCACAGGATTATTTAGAGCTGCAGGGTAAAAGTGGATTGTATTTTCTAATGAATATTTAATTTTGTTCCATTCCAGTGGCCCCAAATGCATGTTTTCAAAGACTGCTACCCTTATAGGACATGCGCTTTCATTTCTTTTCTGTTCATTTTGTTGTTGGGTGCCATCGAGTCAATTCCGACTCATAGTGACCTTATAGGACAGAGCAGAACTGCCCTATAGGGTTTCCAAGGGTGTAAATCTTTATGGAAGCAGACGGCCACATCTTTCTCTCCTGGAGCAGCTGGCAGCATAATGGTTAAGAGCTTGGCTACTAACCGAGAAACCTGAGTCATCCTTGACCCTTCCCTTTCCTTCACCCATCCATGCAATCAAGAACCAAATCATATCAAATCAACCTCTTTAATATCTCTCAAATGCATCCATTTATCTCTATCCTCAATACCAAAATTTCAGTGATAATCTTCCCTCTTCTCCTTAACTAGTCTCTACCAACAAACTGAGCTCCCTTCTAATCCATTCTTTCCCACCAGTGTTAGAATGATCTTTCTCTCCCCAAACCCTGCACTTAATATAGCTCATTTTACACTATCTTGTAATCATTTGTATTCCCTGCTTGAATATAAGCTCCATGAGTTCAGGGATTTTTACCTTGGTCATGTTTATATCTGCAGCATTAAGCATAATATCTGGCATATAAGAGCACTCTATAAATGTTGAATAAATGAGTAAGTGGACTTAGATTCAGCCTGATGGTTAACAGTAGCTCAATAAACAGGTACAGGAATGACTCAAAACATTAATTTTATTCAGGAAAATTCAGGTTACTTAACACATTCTCTGGATACAATCTCTTATGTTCCAGGATGATTTAACCCCTATAAGACTTAAAAACTACCACAAGGCTGCAAAGTGTCTCCTCACCATTTAATAAGGAGAAATAGTTCTTCAATTTCTAGAGCTATCCCATTTTCCCCTACCTTTTCTAAATACATCCCTCTATGCTAAATAATGCCTCAAATTTTTGGTACAAATTTGATAGAGTATTCAATGTGAAGGAGAAATAAATGACTGTAAGGCATTTGGTAAACTATGTCCACAGAAGTTTGTGCTTCCCCATGGTGAGATGATGTCAGAATATGACACAAAATGATGTGATGTCATAAACCCCTAGAACACACTGAACCATATAAAATACGGTGGTTACCTTGGTAAGAGAAACATTTGAACAAAGCCCGGGACATGACTCTTTTCATTTATGTCCTACTTTTGTCTATTTGGACAAGTACTTGTTTCAATACAAGCCAAAGTAATGTATCTTCTACTGTATCTCCCACTGTATCTCATACTGTATCTCCAACTATATCTCCTTCTGCAGGTATGTGCCTAACCTTAAAACTTCTAAGTTATGATCTATCACAATCTGCCTTCAAACAATTAATCAAGCTAACTGGGTTTAAGAAATCTGCTGTTTCTCTGATCCTAACATTAGTAGGTCTTCAAGAATTTCTAAGACAATAGCTGATAGTTTTACTTTTGAGTGAAAATCAAAGTAACACATAAGCATAAGGAGTACAGACTTATGGTCCCCCTTCACTCTCCTTCCCCACTCAATCTACCTAACCCTCCAAACTAGATAATACTATATGAATGAATCTGGCATGGGACCTAACACAGTAGATTGTCAACAAGGATTTGTTCTTGGCCCATCCCCTTTCTCATCACACACATTTACACACACACTAACACTCAAGTGCACTTACACATACATGACATACACACATACTAAAAAACCTAGGTTAATGGGATGATTTAGCCATAATTCAGGGGTAACCAAGGCAATGCTACTGACTAGCCAGAAATGCCTCTCAGATCTGGCTTCTAGACTGTGGCTGGGGATGGGATAGTGGGAACAAAATGACAGTGGAACACCTACCTGGCTTAAAAAATAATAATCCATTAATGAAGAGACTCAGTTTTGACCTACTATAGCAAACCATTATCAAAATGGAAGAATAATTGGTTACTTAACACATTCTCTGGATACAATCTCTTTGACAGGAGCTACACAACTTCAATCAATGGAAACAAAAATGGACGGTTTTAGGAAACGTCTACTTGTTATTATTACTGGTGTTATGATCATAGCCTTTATCTTTACCTGTTTTTGTTTTCTCCATCATAACTGTATGAGCGACGATGTCCCCAAAGGAAACATGTAAGTTTTACACCTTTAAATTAAGAATACAAAGTGTGTGTGTATACATGTAGTGGAGGTTTCCTTGCTGTGGTGGTTACTTAATATTAACTTCAGGCTTTTAAAGAGCTACCAATCTCTCCCGGGTAAATGCTTTCACTTAAATGATATCAGCTCCTAAATATTTTCAAGTATATTATCAATGTTAGCCAAAGCTGTCTCCCATTTAGGGCTCAGCTGAGCCCCAGGCTATTAATTTCATTATAAAGTGAGTCTAGCAAGAGGATGGGAGTATCGAAGTAAGAAAGGAGCATGAAGAGGAGTGGGAGAGAAGGAATTGGGTCTCCACATCCCAAAGATAATAAAACATTTTGGGAAACTTATGATTTTAGGATTGAGTAGCATGAAAAATTGTTCACTGTTGTTGCTCTCATGATCTCAGTCTCCACCTTCCCTACAGGAGGATCAGGCTGGCCCTGATATACTGGTTCCCTAAGAATTTCCCAATCCAAGGACTAATGATTAAAATGTCATATCAATGCTCTATTCCTTTAGCTTTGGGGGAATATTGTGAAAATAAACATGGAGAGATAGATAACTTGACGGTATAAATAGGATAGGAAAACAAAAACTGTTCTAAAGAGCTTATTTTTTCTTGTGTCAAGTTATTGGCTTATGATTTTTTTAAATAAAATTTTAATATCTGGAATAAATGAAATGCACATTCTCTCTCTCTGTTTCTCTGGAAGCAGTAGGTATTAAATAATTTTGTATCATTCCATATGTAGTTTATGTGATTATCTAATGTGGATGAAACAGTAAAATACTCTTAAGACAAAGAAAAAATTATACAACGTGACTACATATCTGTAGCCTGAGTCATTGCTTCTGCCACAATCCAATTCTTACTGTGTTCAGTTTTCCTAACAGAGAAAAAAAAAAACACCAAAGTTTTAAACTGACACAGTATCCTATGTTCTGATGACAGCAATAATATTCTTTTATTTTAAATTAGCATACTCCAAATTTTCTATATTTTCAGGATCAAGAAAGAAGGGATAGTAGCCAAATCATCCAAATTATCACCCAGTGAATCAAAGACAGCGAGTCCATGCAGTCCAGAAAAACAATCCATGCTATCCTGTAGAGACAAGTTATCTCAGCCATCAAGTCCAGCAAAATCATCCATACCATCCAGTGCAGAAAAATTACTCAGGCCATCGAGTCCACAAAAGTCATCCATACCATCCAGTACAGAAATGTTACTCAGGGCATCAAGTCCAGAAAAGTCATCTATACCATCCAGTGCAGGGAAGTTACTCAGGTTATCAAGTCCAGAAAAGTCATCCAGACCATCCATTGGGAAGTCATCTAGACCATCCATTGGGAAGTCATCCAGGCCAACAAGTCTAGAAGAAGTATTCAGGTCATCCTACCTAGAAAAGTTACCTAGGACATCCAGTATAGAAAAGACATATAAGCTAACTCATACCCGTAAGCAAGTCAGTCGAATCTATTTATCCTATTCAGATAAGCCAGTCAGGCCACGTTGTCCACCCTGCCCACAAAATCAAATCTGGCCACCCGAGTCATCCAGTCTACCCAAACTAGCCAAGCCACCCAGACATCCTAATCCAAAAAGGTCAGGTAGTAGAGATAAGACAGACATGTTATCTAGGCCTCTACTCCCCAAGACTTGTCGATGCTACAAGGAAAGATGCCTTGTTTGCAAAACTTCTGAGCCTTTGCTCAATGAAATTTCTGAGGCAAAGAACAACATTGCTCAAACCCTACCATTTTCAAGTGAAGTGAAGTATTTATCCCAGTCCTTTCATAAGGTAGATTCCATGGACAATGCACTATGTAATGATGTGAGTGACATTGATATGATGACACATGACAGTGATGATGACAGTGATAGGGAGATAACCATCATTTGTAACATAAAGCACAATGAACTTCTCCCTATGCCCACTCGAAATAAGTAAGGGCTCAATAAAAACAAAATCCAACTATGAAGACATAAACTTATGGCAATATACTATTTTAGGTTCACTACCCCTCAAGACACCGACAGAAGGGAAAATCTACCAATAAAGGGAAAATCCCCAGACAATCACTTTTGAGATTAGCTCTATCCATCTTGGAGGGAATTTACTTGAAAAATAATAATTAAATGCATGGCATAACAAATAATTATTATTGTCTTATTATTGCATTTTGGAGGTATAAGGCTCTTTCAATGTACCTTACTTAGATCTGGTCACTTGGATGGAAGCCATAAACACACACACACACACCTAGAAAGGAATTGCAAATATGGGTACCCTAGACTCCTCCTTCCCTTGGATTAACCCTCAGTTGAAGTCTCAACCTTATTAAGTTTATTTTACAATGTTTACGTGTAGTCCTTACAGTCTAAGACTCTCTTTTTCTGAGTGCCTAGTGCTTGGTGGAAATGGCCCTTGTGTGCTTGACTCTGGATGAGTTGAGGAAACTCCTGACAGCCATTATTCCTAACACCACTGCCTTCTGTGGCTGCTACCTAAAGGGAGGGCCAGGGTGTTGGTCTAGGCTGCAGTATCCGCACCTGGAGCTCCACAATATCACTCTAAGTGTTCCAGTCTTCATAACTCTCAACAAGGCTTTTCACTCTTTTCGTTACCCTTCAAAATGGTAAAAGAGTTCTCCCTGGTATGCATTCTCAAAAGGTTCCAGTTGGAGGTCTGCTCATATTACCCACATGGTACAGCCCCTCTCTGAATTAGCAGGGGTGGGCAGCCAAGAACAGAATCTTGGAGTTATAACCTTTAACTTCCCCACTGATAAGATGTTAATCTCACCTTCTTCCAAGGGAATGGCTGAGAAAAGCTAACAAAATCCAGGATTCTAAGCCTGTATTCCAGTATAGTGCAGTTGATCCCACATAACATATAGTAGGCATAATTTAAATGCCAGTTGCTGGCATGTATTGATGTGTACTATTTGTCAGGCACTGTACTAGTCCCTTTATGTCTCATGGGTCCCAAGGCCACCCTCAAGTTTGCTTAAGTGTCACTGTTCATGAAAGCCCATTTGAGTCCCTGGGTGTGAGGTTTTTAATGATAGTTGGTCACATAGGCACATCATGCTACACGACCAGCCGTGGCACCTGAAACCCAGAAACCCAACCATGAAACTAGGTACGCGTCACCAGTCTTTAAGTTTGTGCAAAGTAATGCTGACAAGCTGATATGGCATGGTCCATTGCTCCAGGTGTACAAAACATAATCACCACCCATTAACATAAACAACATTCTGAAGGCCACAGTCCCAGGGGTTAGCCAAGGATCAATCATGGTTCAGGTTCCCTTGGAGACATGTGAGGACTGAACAACCAGACCTGTTCTGTTAACGCCTCACTCACACTTTACATATCTCATTTAATCCCCAACAATTCCCCATTATATGGAGGATTATATGAATAAACCGAGTCTCAGAGACATATAGTAAGATAACATCTAGTAATTGGTTGAACTGAATCTACGACTGGCTGATGCTCAGTTTTTCATTATACTGTACTGCCTTGTTATTACCAGCTACTGGGATACCTGATTATTCACAGATCACCCAATCTGTTGGTGGCAGCAAAATCCCTACTTGACTTTTAAACAGTTTGGGCCATTCTCCTATCCTGTCAGGGCATATAAAGGTGCCTTGTGTTCTTTCAGACTTCCCCATGACCTCTGCCCCTACACAGATGTTGTCCCTGGGCCTGTACCCATAAGGTCATCATCAAAATCACAGGTGGCTCTAAGTAGCTGTTTATGCATAAAAATATTAAGAGATGGTACATGCATTAAAAAAGCATTGTGGGAGCTGTAGACTTGATTTCCTACTGGTATTACCTATTTTAAAAAGACAAACTGAAAGGAATAAATTGCAGATTGTTCTGGGCTAGAAAAGCCTGGTCTTTTTAAAATTCACAAATAGAAGTAAAAGTTCTGATCAAGTTATTAAACTTTGTTATGAAAAATTTCAGACATATACAACAAAAATAGGAACCAGCAGTATAATGAATCCCTATATACCTATCATCCAGATTCAACAATTATCACTACTTGGTCAACCTTGTTTCATTTATATCCCTATCCATTCCCGCTACTATATATCTCTAAAAGATAAGAACTTTCAAAAAATATGTAAACACAATACCTTTATCTCACCTAAAAATTAACAATAATTCCTTAATATCATCAATGATCCAGTCAGTGTTTACATCTCCCCACCTGTCTCCTAATTTTTTTTTTTATAGTTGGTTTGTTCAAATGATGTTGATAATTTGACAGCAACTAAGACTAAATTTTTTAAAATGAAAATTGCAATTCCATTGCTTAATTTGGCTTTGTACTGTAGGATGATTTTGGAGCTAATCTGAGCTGTTGCTAGCCTGGAAAATAGCCAAAGAGAAATTGTATGGTTTTCAGTTTAAATTCAACTGACATCTTGGTAAACAAAGCTAAATAATCTAAGCTCTATTCTCTCTCCCATTTTGAACCTAGAGACGTGTAAAATTTTAAAAGCTGTGAATATTATTATCTAATAAAAATGGCTAACTGCCAGTGACAACCAATAATAATGACGTTTAAGAACAAGTTATCCGCATGAGTATGTATATTCCTTTTTAAATCACACTTAATTATAGAGTAGGAGTCTACAGCATATTCGAAGCTTATTCAGTATGCAAAATTCTAAGTGCCTTAATGGGGGCTTCACACTAACCAAAAGAGAATATGCACTGTGAGTCAGAGAAGAATTTTAGCAAAAAAAAGAATTTACCAGTGAAAACTTGCCCAGGCAAATAACTAAGCCCTGTCACTCCAATAGATAGTCTTTGGCACTTCTTAGAAATGACTAAAGTGACTTAAATCAGATGCCTGGATTTAAGTAAGAGTTTCAAGTTTCTACTTCCGGGTCTTCCTGCAGCATTGTCTTCTCTCTCATGGCACCTTACTCCCTTCTCACCTGCTCTCTGTTTCTTTCCCCCTGTTCAGTAAGAGCCAGGGCCATAAGCTCAGTCTGCCCATGGTTTTCTTCCATTGCCATTCTTCAGAGAGCACCACGAAGCCAGTTTCAAGTCTGTCTCTGCCTCTCAGACCAGTCCAGCTCTCTTGCTGTTGAATCCATCTTGCTTACAGTCATCTTCAACACTCACACCCTGCTCCTGGGTACTGGACTGAGATGCATTATCTTCATTCGTTTAACTCAGTATAGCCCTTTCTAAAAATCTATCACTTACAAAAAGTACTGACAGTTCAGGTTTCAAACATTTCTCTCATGTATTTTCTATGTGGAATTATATAAGCATGGAGCTGAGAGGATGCTCTATTCTACCCTCCTTCGGGAAGAGGGAGCTGCGGAGAGCTGAAAGAATAGTCACTCAGCAAAGAAGACCACTTTCTCCCAGGGGTCAGGGGTGGGGCCACAGAGAAGTGATACACCAGATGTAGGATGGTTACGAAGGTGTCAAACCAGAGCCTTACTCAAAGTCCTCAGCTCTGCCAACTTCCACAGTCCTGCCACACTCTGTGCAATCCCGAAGACTTTGCGGCCTCAAAGGAAGGGAATGGAAATGAGAGCAGGAAAAAAGCTCTGTGGGAGCTTCAGCCAAATATCTCCTTCACTGTAACTCATATACAACCTTCAGTTATTCCTGTACTGCTGTGACCTTGGAGAACAAGGGTTAAGCAGGATTAATTAGTTTTGCAATTATTTATAGAATACACAGGAAGGGCCATCGTTGAAATAAACAAGGGCTAATTATAGCTTACATTTAAGGACTTTCAGATACTTTTACTTGTTTAGAATTATTCCCTAAACAATTATTTAAAATTATGTGCCTGAATAAACATACACACACACACATTGAAAAAATTGCAGAAAGAGATGAGGAAATAAACAGTCATCTCTCTGCAATATACAAGTATCTTACTTTAAAAAAAGAAAACATAGAACAATAATTTTATAGCCAGTTTCTCTGGATTGTAGAAATTTGCTGATCATAAATATTTGTCATATCCACTATCATCCTATCATTCTCTTCCCTTAGTCACATCTTTTCCTAGCAAAGTGGGGACTGTTTTTGAATATGGTGTTAAAATGACCAAAAGGTAGGTAACTAGAAAGAGGAAAAGAAGAAATAAAGGCCTATGGTAATACATGGCTAGAATAATCAGTCCTGGAAATATTGAGAGTTGACTGTATCTATCATGTATAGACTTTCTCTGCCACTTGGTAAAGTAAGAAACTTAAGGTCAAATTGCATGGCTATAAATTGGAACATAAGAATGTGACTGAGCTTCTTGCCTTTAACTTCCACATGTTCATCACGGCAGAGTCAAATAAAATTCTAAAATACTGCAGGACTAATGACACATACTATACATTATTAGCAAGAAAGTCTACCTATGAAAGTGAAATTTATTCAAAAAAAGAATACATCATTGCTGTGTAAACAAGTTTCTCTTATAAGCCCTAGTTTTGTTGAAGGACTAGAGATGAAAAAGAGTGGAACATCATGACAAGCAGAGAAAAGATTGAAGTTGTCAAGGACTTCATTTTTCTTGGATCCACAATCAACACCCATGGAAGCAGCAGTCGAGAAATCAAAAGACGCATTGCACTGGGCAAATCTGCTGCAAAAGACCTCTTTTAAAGTGTTAAAAATCAAAGATGTCACTTTAAGGACTAAGGTGTGCCTGACCCAAGCCATGGTGTTTTCAATCGCCTCATATGCATGTGAAAGCTGGGCAATGAATAAGGAAGACGGAAGAAGAACTGATCCCTTTGAATTGTGGTATTGCTGAAGACTATTGAATATACCATGAACTGCCAGAAGAACAAACAAGTCTGTCTGAAGAAGTACAAGCAGAATGCTCCTTAGAAGCAAGAATGGCCAAACTACGTCTCACATACTTCGGACATGTTATCAGGAAGGATCAGTCCGCGC